GTTTTAAGGCCACAATTTCACATCAGGCTTTTCTTGCCTTTGAGTTCGTTTCTGGTACAGGAAAGAAAATAGGGAAATTGAATTATTCCTTACAAAAGATCTTTTGCTTGGTAGGAGGCAAGAGTCATTTTTAGAACGGGCACCCTGGGGAGAGATGACAAAGGGGCTTTGGCATCTGGCTGCAGCAGCTGGGGCATGGCCCTCTCCAAACCTCAGTTCTTTCTCTGCATCACCACCTCACTTGTTGGCTGCCTTCACCTTGGTGACCGCCAAGAACAGAGGAATGAAATGCTGCTTGGACCTGTGTGAGCTGCAAGATGGATCTGGGGCCAGATCATTCGGGTTTTCAGAAGTGGACCATTAGGGCTTTCTTCCTAGCCTATCTTAGCCTGGAAGCTCTGCTGAGACCTCGTTAGTGAGCTTTGTAGCCACGCACAAGTGGCCGGTGCTTGCAGGTGTGGGGTGTTGACCCCCACGTGGGAGGGGAGAATCTACCATGGAACCAGCCTGCTCTCTGTACCTCATACCTTTAGTAATTGCTTGCCTGATGCCTTCATAACCAACGGAGTTTTTTTCTTGCTGCCTTGTATTTTAAGTAGTGGAAGATGTACTGAAATCAAGGGGTGGTGTTTTTTTTTAAGTAATAAGGATTTGGATGCAATGATGCAGGACATATATGCCCTAAGCAGACTCTGGTGGTAAGATTGCTGGGGTGAGGCCTGTTTCTCCAGCTTTGTGTCATTTGTACAAGGCCCCGCCAGGCCGCAGCACGTACTGTAACTGGGATAGCAGCTTCCCACTAGATGCCATGTGTTAAGACTGTCCCCGTGAGAAGAGGCTGTGGCCTGTGGGGAGACTAGCAACTGGGGCTTGTGTGAATTCTCTGTTCACAGGGCCGATCTTAGCTCATGACTGCTGAGCTTGGCTGGAGCTTGTGAATCCCAGTGAGGGGAGCATAAGGCCACACGCCCCATCTCAGAGCGAGACACTGCAGCCCTGTGGGCTCCGGTTGTTCCTACGCTGTGTCACGGAGCAGCTAGATGTCCACTAGTCAAGATAAGGTCTTTGTTCTCAGTGCTGTTCTGAAAGGAGTGAGTACTGAAATAGCTCTGCTGCACATCTCACCTGACAGCATGGCTGATGCTGATGCGGACCTGGGCTGGGGCACAGCCATGCGAATGGGGGCTCCTTCCTTGTTCCTAGGGCACTGCCTGGGTGGGGTGCTCAGTGGGGTCATAGCGTAACTGTGTATGGGACCTGGGTGCTCCCAGGAGCTGTGGAGAAGACCACTGCAGTGCGTGGGCAGTGACAACGCCCCAGTGGCATGGAAGCCCCAACCTGTGGTGCTGCACGCTGTGGCTGAGTGCGGCATTTGTGTGCGCTGAGGGACTTGGCCCCCAGTCTATTAGGCGCCAGGTCGCCCCAGTGGAACAAATGGGTACAAGCTCAGTGACTAACTGAAAGGCTATCAGTTGGATTCTCCCAAAGGTGCCTCAGAAGAAATGCTGAGCGATCTTCTGAAAGCCTCCTCTGATGGATGCACGGGGTTGCCAGTGGTAGCTGGTTTGGGGTGTTGGTGGTTTCCTTTGAAGGGGGTTGCACGGTCTGTTCTCTGAGAGACCCTGTGACCTGGAGGCAGCTATTGCTAGGGGCTCTCAGGAACTCTAGCCTTGACACACTGGCATGTCTAGAGTTTTGTCCTAGCCCAGCAGGACACCGCTGTTCTGCAGCTCTGCTTCAGTTGCTGGCACCCCGTCACTCTGAGGGGATGGGGACAGGCCATCCCTGCTCCCCACACTCAGGGACACACACACACACACACACCCCCACCCCCCAGGACCCGGCTCTCAGGGAACTGTTCTAGTAGCTTTGCCACAGGGGTATGTCGGTGGCCATGGGGTGCACCCCCACCGAGGCACAGATAGCCGCTGTGAGGGCGGAGAACATGCTAAAGAAAGCAGGCGACAAGATAGCAAACAGTGGCCTGGCAGCTCCAGGGGGCATGCGCTGTGTCACTACTGAGCTGTGCCACTGGGCCACTTAGATCTGGCCTCAGTTTTCCCAACTGTACAATGTGGGTGTTAAGAGCTCTGGAAGCTCCGGTTCAGCAGATGGGGGTGGCTTTGATAATCAACCGGGGTGGGAAGGGAGGGAGGGGAGTGGAAGCCACTGAGCACTTGGCCTCTGTGCATCTGCAGGTCAGGTGCCCTAAGACCACCCAGCAGCGATGGCTGGCTCTACTCGCCTCCTGAAGTGGCCTTCCCACCTGTGGGCAGTGCAGGCACGGAGTCGGGGCATGGCATTTCTTCCTTCCCTGCAGGAGATCTGGGTTTGAGTCCTGGCCAGTGCACCTCATGTGGAGCTATCGCCCACTCGTGAGTGACGGCTCGGGTGTTGCTCTGACGATGAACAGGTTTCAGTGCAGCTTCTAGACTAAGGTGGGAAGAGAAGCCTGAAGCCCACTTCCTAAACAGGCAGTGAGGACACGCACAGGACATGGTGTGATCACATTGTGCAGGTGTGGGGCTGACTTGATGGCAAGTACCGACAATCCTTAATTGCTGAGCCACACTGCGGCCATCGCCCGTGCACACACATCTTGGAGGCGTGCAAGTTCTTAGTTTCATGTTGACCTCCAGCCAACCTTCTGTGGTGTTTGTGGGGCAGGTGTGTGTTTCCCCTTGCGTGTCCCACCATGGGAGGCTGATGCATCTTTGGATGCTGTTGGCCTTCTGCCAGGGAGAGGGCCCAGCCCCTCCCCACCTCTGTGCTTCGGAATGCAGCCCACCTGAGCCTTCCTTAGTCCTGGGGGCAGAAGCCATTGCCGGCTTTTGTTCAGACATTTTCTGGCCCACAAACTGTGTAAGGGTCCCTGCTCTGGGCCAGGAAGGATGGACAAACAGGCCTACTCACCCCTGGTGGGGAGACCACCTCTGGGCAGGGTTTTAAAGGGTGCCTTGAGCTCTCTGGGCAGACAGGTGGTGGTGTCAGGGGTGTTCATTGGAAGGAGAGGCTTCACAAAGTTCACGGGAAGATGGAATTAAATGATAGAAGTCGTCTCCACTGTGAGGAGTAGTGGGCTGAGCGAGTGAGGGGTTGGTCTGGGCTGTTGGAAGCTGCAGGAAGGAGTCGAGACACACCCATTGGCTTATAGGAATGGCGGGACCAGGCAGCCCCAGGGGCCACAACAAGTACGTGCTGGTGATCCTGTCAGAAGCCCGCGTGATGTAGGTTACAAGGTGAACTGCTCACCCCCGTCAGCCGCTCGAATCCACCATTTAACGATGTGCCCCCTGAAACCCTTGGGAGCAGTCCTCTGTCCTCGAGGGCCACTGGGGTTGGAATCGACTTGCAGGTGGGTGGGGTGGAGTGGGCTTTTCTTTTGGGGAAGGGGGCACAGTCCTTTCTGTGGCCCACTGCCAAGTCTATAGCTTGGTTCCAAACTTGATTCACATCGAGGAGACTACCTGCACAGCCTGGCCTGTAGCCCCTCTCTGAGTCAAGACCAGGGCTCGCTGCCAGGGCAGGTGGGCACCACAGCACGCACACCAGGGTGAGCAGCTCAGCTCACTGTGTAGTAGTAGGTGGGCAGGCTTGACTTGGCAAGCTGAGGTCTGAGCCATCCAGATTGAGGGGACCTGTGACAGCTGTCCATCTGATGCCAGCCCTGCCCTCTTCCCCTTAGAACCGGCCTTCTGTGATCACCTGCGCTTCTGCCAGCAACCGAAACTGCAACCTCTCCCACTGCCCCATTGTGCACAGCGGCTGCCTGCCCGCCAGCTACCGGAGGCCTCCCAGCAGTAAGTGCTCTGGTAGGGGGGTGGGGGGGCATCCTCCCTGAGCCTGGCTGGTGGGAGAGGGTGCTGGACAGGCCGGAGTGAGATGCACGCTGTCTGATCTCTTAGCGGGGTGGAGGGAGGGGTGGTTTTCGAGAACCGTTGTTTGGTGCTAGGCTCTGAGCTGTCACCTAAGCCCACCGCCTTGCAGTTGGTAAAGTCACTGCCCAAGAGCCTCCCTAAGGTGGAGAGGAGGCAGTCTGTGTCCCCAAAGCCACTGTGCCCAGCTCGGGCTCAGGCCCACCGAGCTGCCCGTGGGGCAGGGTGGGGCAGTTGGTGTTGCCCAGGGTGCCTTGCTGAGCCCTCTCCCCCCCGCAGCGACAGCCGCCTGCGACCCGGTGGTGGAGGAGCACTTCCGCAGGAGCCTGGGCAAGAACTACAAGGAGCCCGAGCCGGCCCCCAGCTCCGTGTCCATCACCGGCTCCGTGGATGACCACTTTGCCAAAGCCCTCGGTGACACGTGGCTTCAGATCAAAGCGGCCAAGGATGGGGCCTCCAGCAGCCCGGAGTCGGCCTCCCGGCGGGGCCAGCCCACCAGCCCCTCGGCCCACATGGTCAGCCACAGCCACTCGCCTTCCGTGGTGTCGTGAGCACGGCTCAGGCTCTGGACACTCGGCGCTTCTGACCCGGAGGATGGCTGGGGGGGACGGGTGGGGGGCGGGGTTCGGTCTGCTCGGTCTTTGTACAAGGGTGCCCTCACACGCGGCGGCAGGAACGTTGGGTGGAACATCCGCAGCACAGAGCGTCCTCCCTTCCTGCCTCAGTTACCAAAGAAACCTCGGACGCAGGGCTTCCATCCCCAGCAGGCACTGAGCCGCCGGCCGCTCTGTGCGGCTCCTCCAGCCCAGCCCGTCCGGGACGCTGTGCCGCGGCGGCTTCCCCCACGTGCCCTGCGCAGGCCGCGTGCCGCGTGCCGCGTGCTTACTTGAAGGGCGCCGTCGTGTCCGATTTGCACTATTGGAGGAGGATCCAGCTGCTCGGCGTGACCATGACCACCTTTCAGCCCGATGCTCGTTCTCCGAGGGCGGTCCTCGGTCTGGCTGGTTGGGTTCAGTGCAGACACCGCTTTGGAAGGGGAAGTCTTTCTTTCTCTCGAGATTTCAGGTGCTTGCAACTGGACTGCAGCCTCCCAATCAAGGGCATTGGCCGACCGACCTTTCCTGAGCACTGCAGCGTGGGAGACGAGCGCCGGGGGAATCCATAGTGCTTTAAACATTGATTGCATGTTTTCATGGAGAAAAATAGCTGGTTTCTATTAATGTATAAAAAAAAGAAATCTTAATCCTTAATAGCTTCTTTCCATAACTAGTTTATTTTTGTCAGTTACAGTCCTAGATCTACTTACTGCTGGTACAGTTGTACTCTAAGATTTGTATTTGATACTCACTTTACTCACACGTTGCGCTGGGGACAGCGGCTGCTGGCAGGCCCTGCAGGCGAGGGTTCGGGGGTGGATTGGTCAGCCTCTGTGGAGGATGCTGGGGGTGTGGGACACACACACACACGCACAGTGGGCTGACTGCTTAATTTACATCGCTGTCTACTTGTTACAAAGCTCCCTCCCCAGACACACACAGGCCCCCTCTCCACCTGTGCTTGGCCGACCAGCAGATTGCCAACAATCTGTGATACGGTATTTTGTACACTTCCTTGTAAGCTGGGCCAAGGCAGCACACATTCCTCTGACTTAGTTATTCCTGCATTTATTAGCGTTTGCTATGTTAATAGCTACTAACTAGAAGTTAGGTGAGGAACGCGTGACGGACAGCTGTGGGTGTCCCAGCTTGTCTTTCTGTTCAGTGGACTTCTGTCCCCTGCCTTCTCAGGATGCGACATTCCGGCCTCTTGGGGCTTACGCACGTCACCTGACGAAGGCCAGGCAGGTTTGGCCACCTGTGATGCTTTGGTGGACATAGTGGCCCTCGAGGCTGGGGGACAATGGCTTTCATTTTGAGATTAGGCCTGACCTTGGGGCAGGGGAGCGGGCGGCGGGTCCTTGTACACAGCAGCTCAACCACCCTCCTCGGGCCCCGCACACATTTCACTCCCGTTTTACGGGCCTTCCAAGCTTTGGCATCCAGGCCCCATTTTCTGTAGGAGAGATTGTGGAGAACACTTTTTTATATAGGTAACTTTAAGACCATCATTACGCTGTGCGTAAAGAATGTACAGAGAAATTTGTAGGTATTTTTTGAAGAACAATTAATTTGTTAATGATATGTAGCTATTTAATTTTTCCCTTTCCTATTGTAATCATTCTTTTTTGGTTTGGAAAAAAAAAGTTGATCTTTTTTTGTCGTAGATTTGTCTGTAAAAGTGCAGGAAGACAGTTCTCCCGGAACACTGCGTCTACGTTCATAGCCACTCGTTTGTTACTGCTACAGGCTACTGAACGTCGCCACCCGGTCCGCGCACAGACGGTCACTGCAGGGGACTGGGCCCGGCCCTGACCTATCTGGGATAGGTGTGTAAATCTGTAATATAACATTCTCTGTGGCCTGTTTTTCCTGGAAGAAGAAGAAAAAAAAGGTTTGGCAGGCCATCTTTTTTTTTGTACTTAAAAGTAGCCTTAAGAACAATAAAGTGCTCTTAAACCACAGGCTTGTGTATGCCCCTCTGTCCGGGGCCCTCGGTGGCCCAACACCCATGCTAGCGCTCTGCTCCGTCAGAGCTGTGGCATGGAAAGTGGCATCTTGACCCAGACTTTCTATTTTCAATCTTGCTGGCCGGAAACCAGCTGTTTTACGTGTCAGGTTCGGGCTCCAGGCCGGAGACAACAGCAGATGGGGGTGGGGGGCAGAACCTCAAAGCCTGCTCTGTGGAGGGCCCCTGAAGACGGGGGTAAGGGCTGGTGTGGCGTCAAGGCTTGGGTGGGACTCAGGCGCCCCACCCCGAGGTCTGCTCCTGGGCTCTTCCACTAGCCAGGGCTGGCCTCGGGGGAGCCTGCAGCCCTCCTGAGGGGGGTTGGGTGAGGTACATGGGGTGGCCCCCCCAGGAGTGCCAAATGAAACACTTGCCACAACAGAGGAAAGAGAGGAGCTCATGGAGGGTGGAGGTTATTATTCAGCTCAGAAGTGGCAGGAGGGTGAGGAGTCTGGAGAATGCAGGGCACGCTGTTCCTGCTCACGCATGTAGACGGCAGGTGTGGGTCTCCAAGGCCGGGAGCAGGTGGTGGCCAGCACCGGTCAGACAGTCTCGTCATCGCTCATGTCCCAGATCTGCATGGAGAAAGAGTGACCATCAGGGACTGGTGCAGCGACACCTCCATCGGGAATGACCTGCTGTGGGCCTTCATACTGCCTCCCCGACCTCACCTCCCACACTCCCTAGTGGCTAAGGGGCCAGTTCCCCCAGTCTTGTCAAATAAAAGCAAACACACAGGACCAGTCCTTTGCCCCTCAGTGGCAGAGCAGGAGGCTTGAACCATGCCTGCTGCAGAGAGGCTGGCCCTGGCTCACCAGCCCGGCTGACTATTGTCCAGCTCTGACCCTTCACCCCATCCCACCCCCCATAATCTGGGACATACACTGGCTTACCAGGCAGGTCCTTGCTAAGCGGTGGCTCCAGCCTGCTGCCACCACTGGCTCATGGTAGCCATCAACTATGGATACCACGCCTGCCCCCAGCAGGCCTCTCAGCTGCCCACGGTTGCTTGGGGCAGGGGAAGTGGAGCTTGCCTGTTTCTGCCCCGGCACGTGTCTGTGTATCTTTGGGGAGTCCCTGACCCCAGGGATATGAATCTGTGGAGACACGTCCCATCCCCAACCTCCAGCCTCAGGCTCTTGCCCTCCACCACCAGCCTGAAACCTGTTTTGAGGAGTCCCCAGGGCAGCAGGCATGGTCCCAGCGGCCTTGCGCCCTGGGCTCCCTGGAGAGTGGGTCCCTCAACATGCCTTCAGATTTTCAAAATTCCTAGACTTGGTTACAAAAGGCCACCTACGACGCTAGCAGCACTGAGGGAGCAGACAGGCTGTTTACTCGAGGCTGGCGGGGAGGTGGGATGGCCTGGCCAAGGTAAATATCAGCACCAGCTTAGCTTTCAAAGTCAAGGACAAGGAAAATAAATATGATTGAAGGAAATGTCCTCTTTCCTGGGGACCCGGCTGCCTGGACCTGAGGTGGTGGGAGTGGGGTCGGTCCTTTCTCCCACCCTGCCCTTATTTCCACACAGCGAGAGCTTGGGCCAGGATCGCAAACACTCCCATGCCCTCTGGCCTCCCAGCGCCCATCACGGATGTACAGCAAAGCCTGTTTGCAGGACACGACTGCTCCTGCTCCGGCTTTCTAGCAGAGACCACATTCGGAGCCCCAGGACAGGGGAGGTCCCTGCTGGGCCCAAACCATTTGTCATCTGCTCATCATTGGCCTCTAAGCAGAAGGAAGGGTGGCAATTAACGCCTACCCAGTGGTGGCATCACAGGACATGGGCTGGCACGCTGCCCCCATGAAAGCTGAAGTCAGAAAAGGTGGGTGCACTTCTACGCTGTCGCCAGGGTCACCACGAGATGGAGCGCACCAGGCGGTTTCGCAGCTCTGCCCACTTCAGTGGCAGAGGGAGCTAACTGGCTCCACGTGCATTGGAATTCCCCCTTCCCACTCTCATTCAGTGCCCACCCATTCCTGGAGCCCCTCCCATCCCTTGCACTGGGCAGCCCTGCCAGGTGGGGACAGCAGTGGGAGTCCAGTGAGCAGTGCCAAATTTGGCTGTGCCAAATGGGTGATTCCAGAGGGGTGGTGGGGGGGACAGGTAGTGCTAGTGTTATGTGCCGGGGGAGCTGATCTCGGCCTGTCATCACCCCCTTGTTCCTGGGGTGCTTTGCACTTCCATGAGGGGTCCAGCAGGCCCCCTACAATGACAGTGTCCTGCCCTGCGGCAGCTTTGCCCTCTCCCTGCCCGCCAGGCCAGAGGCTACAGCGGTCTTCAAGTTACACCTCAGCCTGGCCTCCTCGGTGAGTGAGGAGGATATTAAATTGGACCTGTTTTTCAAATGTTAATCCTTGGTGCTGGCAAAGACCTAGTGAAACGCTGCCAGGAGGGGTATAAATCGGCACCACATTTTCTAAAAGGAGCGATTTGGCTGTTTGCAACACGGCTTTAAGTATGCTGTTCACACTCACAGGCAGGGATGTGATGGGCTCCTTCGCAGATTCAGCACAGCTAGTGCACACAGTAGCCATGAGACAGCAACATGGGAAAGTCACACACACACACACATACACACCGTTAGTGTGCACCCACATACAAACAGCACCCAGTTACCACCCAATGAAAGAGGAGCCCGAGGGATCGACTACTAAGGAGTGAATCAACATAAAATGGACAACATTTGTATGAAAAGAAAAGTTGTAAGAGTGCTGCCTCCAGAGACGCCTGGACGTGTGCAGTGTGGAGCAGACATGGCTGCCTCCAGAGGGGACAGCGCAGCTCTGCAGAGGGACCTGTCAAGAGTTAGCTCCCCAGGGCAGCGCAGATGCCCAATGCCAGCTCAGGTTTACAAAATCAACAAGCACGTTTTCCTAGCTAGACAGGCTGCTTCTGACATTTCTATGGCAAGAAGTACATAAGCAAGAAAACCCATGGGAAACGAAGAGCGGATGCAGGTCTACCTGCTTGCACGTATTCCACGTCTCTGGAACTAAAGGAG